TTGCCAAGGTTGGACACCCCTGCTCTACAGTGTAGGACACGGGTGTCAAACTGGCAGCATCACATTGCCATCACATGATGTTTCACAACGTTTTTTTCCCCTTCCTGGGGGTGGGCGTGGCCTATGTGTGACTCTTCCAGCCCACTGGTCACCTGTTTGACACCCCTGGTGTAGAGTCTTTATTCCTAATTGGTCATTGTGACATTCTTTAAAAAACCTTAATGTTCATCTTTTCATGTGGGAACTAGATTAAACTGCAATCAAATGTTTTCTGTTAAGTTCTTACAGGATTTTGCTTCAAATGCATTCAGTTGCTCTTGCTAATTACTCCCTTGAAAACTTTGTCAAATGTGTTAACTTTTAACATGCAAGGTGATTAGTGATTGGTGGTTCCATATAGCCATATCACAGTGTATGAAATGTTTTGATTCATGAGAAAGTTGCACTGTATTAGGCAAAATATGTTTTCATTTGTGTTTATTTAGCTTTTCTGTTAATTTGTCAACTGTTTGAGTAGGCACTTGTTCGTTCAGGTAGAGATTGTACACAAGTAGGTCTCTAGCATTTACAATGAAACCAATGGTACTTAATAACAAGTTTTATATGGAACTACTTTATTTTAACGATTTAAAATGAGATGTACTAGATGTAATGGTTGCCACATGGATATTTAGGGTTTTCCTTTTTTTCATTTTGGAAAAATAATGCAAATGCTATGTGGGTTTTGTCAATTTTTTTCATCACTTGCATGTTAAAGCCTTTCTATTGGTAGGGGGGCTTTTAAAAACATTTCTTTCTGATTAACAGCAGATACAGATTTATATGCTATGTAAAGACAAGTCCTTTATGCATATCTGACACTGATTCTTAGCAGCCGCATAGCTAGACCTATTCCAGGAAGTCCCCAACCTGATTTTTCATCTTTGGCAGACTCTCTTTAGATTCCTCCTTAGCAGCTTTTTAAATTTCATTCCAAGGATCATTGGTTCCCTGTGTTCAGGATTTCAAAGCAATTCTTGATGTAATCATTGACAATAGTGGGTATATGCTGAAGATCATCTTGTGGAACTGGTTGGTTCTCATCTTCTGCATTAGCTTAACTTGGAAGTTGCATATGAGGAGGTAGTGAATTGTTTCACAGTAGGCTCCTTGTCTTTGCTTTATAGTTTATCTGGAGCAACAGCTATAAACCCATATCTAACAGGACTAATTCTCAGAGTAAAACTTCAGTTTATTCCAAAAGTTTATGATCTGACACCAAGCTGGACCTCTAATTAATTTATCCCTCCTACACAAAGTGTACATTGAAGCACATCAAGCATGGCCTTGTGGAATTCGGATTATGTTTTCTTTTAAAGCAAGGGTGTCAAACACAAGGCCTGTGGGCTGGATCTGACCCGCAAGGTTAAATCTGGCCTGCGGGGCTGGGCTGGAACTTTCAAAGGACTGGCCCGCAGTGCCTCTGGTAGCTAAAACGGGCCACATGTGGCCCCTCTGCGCCTTGGTTTCACCCTCCATGGACTCCTGCAGCACTCTGCTGGCTGAAAAACGGGCCCCAAAAGCCCCCAAAATGGTCCATGCGGCCTGTTTTCGACCAGCAGAGTGCTGCTGGAGGCCATGGGCAAAAATGAGATATGGGGGGGGGGGGGCACACGCAGAGTTCCCCCCTGCGCCTCGTTTTTCCTCCAAAACTCATTCCAAAGGTTGGTGGTTTAGTTGTTTTGTTTCATTTTTAGTTAGGATAACACTGGCCACAGCTAAAGTTACAAACCAAATAAAAATATAAAACAAATCCTTCAAGCTTTTTCAAATATGGGCATATTCAGAAATTAACCTAAACACGATGAGACGTTTGGTGCTTCTACAAATATTCTCTTGAAATGCAACTATAGTCCAAGGCAAGTTCAAGGTCAGAGAGCTACCTTTCTTTATCCCTCCCCCCCCCACTTAATGCTGTCCAGTGAATTTGCTTTCCTAGCAAGTAACACAGTTATTCTCCATAGCAGTTAATTTACGATTTGTTTACTTGATTATTCAACGGGCTGTGTAATTTAGTCATTGGAAACAGTTAGCAAGGCAGCTGGGTTCCACTGTACTCCAAGATTGTTCTCTCAGCCTCTTGCAGTTCCACAGGATGGTACTGATTTCCTCCCCGCTCCGTTTGGGGGGAGGGAATGCTTGTTTGCAAAATTAGGCTTTCAAAAACAGGCTAGAGAGCAAATTGAAAACATGTGTTCTAGGAGCCTCTCACAGGACCAGTTTACCTTTAACAACTCAGATGGTTCAAATTTTATGTAACTAACAAAAACCACACTTCAGATGCATGGAGAGATAATGGAAAAATAATGATATTGGATGCCCCACAGGTTCATTTTGAGTCTCCAGGGTTGCATTTAGAGAGAGAAAGAGAGAGAGAGAGAGAGAGAGAGTGGTGTGTGTGTGTATCTTCAGTTGTGAGGTTCTGGATACAATCATGCCTCTGTCATGGAATTAGTGATGTTTGTGTGCTTTCTGCATGTTTGCGTGCTTTCTGCATGTTTGGAAAACTGAACTCTATCACAAAATACTGTTTTATTCAGTTTAGTTCCAGCTGTCTCCTTCACTCATCTTGTAGATTTTTTTTTCATTTGAGCAAATGGTGATGATGTTAGAGGCAATACTTGTTCTTTCAACGTATTGAGTCAGATCTAGTAAAAGAAGTCTTCTTCAATGAACACACATAACAAGATTGTACACATTTTTTTCTGTTTGAAGCTGCCTCAGAAGATGTGTGTTAAAACAGAAATGGCAAAGTTCTTTGAAAAAAAGCTTTGAAAAACATAAATTGGAGTGTGGGGTCTTATGCTGCTGTAGATTTTTCTATATCATTTCATAAAGTCTTAACATTTTCTTGATTTCAAAGGCCATTATCATTGTGGCTGTGTTTCATAGACCTTTTGTTCCCACCTTTTAATTAAGCTAAGGAAAGCATTTTGCCTTCAGGATGAAGGCCTGTTTATGTTTGCTTCAATTTCTGAAGATATCCCTTAAACAAACTTTGGAGCAGGGGTGTCAAACTCGTGGCCTGCGGGCCGGATGTGTCCTGCCCAGTTTAGCAAAACGGGGGACGTGATGCCACCGTGATGACACAAATTTGACATCCCTGCTTTAGAGCAAGGGTCGCCAACCTTTTAGACCTCAGGGACCACCAAACTCATAATTTTAAATCCCGCAGACCGGAGACCCTGGGAAAATCCCCAAAAAAGTCTGCAGGGAAATTCCCTACCCCATTTCCTACCAATAGATCATTCTTTATTTGGGATCGCAGGATATCGTCTCCAGCTTCATTCTTGGGTGGGGGGGGGGGGAGAGATTTTTGGCTTCATGCAAGGAACGCAGCAGAAGCAGCAGAAGTCTTTCTTTTTCTTCCCCAAACTCTGCCGGAAATGAGTCTTTGTGAGACTTGTCGCACCGGCGCAGCCTCTTGGAGCAAGATGCCTTGCAGGGTCCCAAAGACTCATTTCTGGTGGAGTTTTGGGGAGAGAAAGCCTTGTGTACCCACGGGACATGTGGGTGATGCAGACTTGTGTTCCCGTGCAGCCTGGATTAATTGCTTTGGGGGATGCTTTGGGGTGACATTTCTCTGTGGACCACCAAAATTTTCTCACGGACCACCAGTGGTCCCGGCCCACTGGGTGGCAACCACTGCTGTAGAGGATTGTTCTAATGAAATGGCTTGTTGATTATTTGATGACCAAATTTTCCAACTGATTACAGGTGAAAATTCTGGCTCAGAATGAGAATGTTAAGCTGCAAGAGGCCCTGACCAGTAATTTGAAGAGTGCTGTCATGGCAGCCTTTCTCATGTTGCCTGAAAGTTTCTCTGAAGAGGATCTTTATATGAAGATCGCTGGATTGTCATATTGTGGTGAGTATGGCTTTTAAATTGTTTAATAATTGATTAAAAAACAAACAAACAAGAAAGTAACTGTTAATGAAAGATGTGCACCAACTTTATTTATGGTTGGCTCAGCATTTAACAGACTATTAGGAAGAAATGCTCTGGATTTTACATATGTACAGCTTAAAATTATTTTCAATTCTGTTCACTCAGTTGGATACTCGTTTGGCACTTTTCCTTGCATTTGCTCTTAGGTTTTTGGGGTTTTTTTGTAGTCCTTCTCTGTTTGCCTACATTCTCTACAACTTTTTTTCCCTTTCTATGCATTAACGTATTACTATATCTTTCTCACCTCCTTTCTTCATCATCCTCTAACATGCATATCTTTCTTCATTCACAGATTCTGGAAAATGATGCTTCATCATTTTCCATATTTCCCATTAATGTTACTCGTCACACTTCTGTAATCTTCTGTAACATCCTTTTTATTCTCTTCCAAGCAGTTTCCACATCTTTTTTGCTGTCCATTTTCCATTCATTCCACTCTGAAAATGCAGACGTCAGGGTTCCAAGTAATAAATCCATTGCGAGCAAAAAACTCTGAGGCAGGTGAATTCCTCAAAAAATAGCTTTATTGGAAATATCATATTGGCACATATCTGGTGAAAACCAACTCTGAAGGGCCCCTTGGTTTTCACATAATCAAAAGTAAAAGTAAGTTTTTCCCTCAACCTCAAACAATCAGTCACTCCCTCTCTCAGCCAGGCGTGAGAATGTCCCAGGAGAAAGTCTTGAGAAAGTATTTTATTTTGACTACAGAAGCCCAGCTATCTCTAATCTCTCCTCCCTATCCTTCGCTCCGCTGTGGCAACACTGAAGCTCCAAGATGGGTCCATTCAGGTGAGCTTCAGGGTTGACACTAGGACTCATCTTCCTCCTTCTTGCAAGCCCCCTACTTTTACAAGAACCAAAGAATAGAGGCTGAATTGTGAGAGATCCAGACTTAAAATAAGGAGGACTTTCCTGATGTGAGAGTTTTTAAGTAGTGGAATGGCCTGCCTCCTAAATTTGTAGTTTCTCAAGAAAAATTAAACAGTCTTTGTCCAGGAAGCTATGAGGATTCTTGCGCTGGTCAGGAGGTTGGATAGATGACCTTCAAAATCTCTTCCAACTCTATGATTTTTGATTCTTCCCATTTTTCTCTTCTTTCTTGTCTATTTTTCCCCAAAACCCGCTACTAAATAAGATGGTACCGCACATTCAAAATGCTCTTTTAGCCTATACTGCTTCTGTCAGTTTATATTTTTATAAATTATCAGGTTCTTTGTACTCTTAAATTCTTTGCTTTAACATATGTACATTTACAAATGGACATATACTTAAATTATATATTCAAAACAGATGTTTATCACATCTGTTTTGTTCTTAGAGCTCAGACTGTTCTCACTTATGCATTTAAGTATAACAGACTAATTTTTCTCCATTACATTTATTCTGAATATTGCACAATTTCCCTCAAACTCATCACTGATTCTTTCATTATCCTTAATTATCAGAACTTAACACAAGATTATTGCCAGCATATGGATTCCTTCCTTCATACACAACCACCAAAGTCCAAATGTTTTCTGTCATTCATTGTAGCCCATTGGCTTCCCTGCATGGTTTCATTGGCTGTAATGTGACATTTGCCATATGTATCATTTGCTACTAATAATAAGGACAAGTTGGGCATATTGCCAGTGTGCACTGCACAGCCATAGCCCATTTTTGCATTTGGCCTACTTTTATTTCCTACAAGTGAGGGTCTCTGGAGGCTTTCAGCTGAATATCTTATTGCCTGCATCCTATCAGCTAGAAAGCACCCATATTATTTTTTTTCTTAGATATTTTCCTATGCGATTTTCTGCTTAAATCAGATGAATGTACAAATTTTTGTTCAATGTAATACATTTGGGTGTTAAAAGGAGTACTATACAATGGAAGCTTAATTCAATAATCCAGGAATTGCAAAGAAAGATAAAAGATGCAGCTCTTGCACTCAAAACTAATGAATATATTATGTTGGCATGTTGGAGGTGAGGGAGACCTTCAAGCCTTCTTTAGGATTTATTTCCCATCAAATCAGGCAGATGACTTTGTTTCAGGAGAGGTCAAGGCACATCCTGCTGGCTGACACAAATTGCAGTTCAAACTGTGTGTTTAAGAGGAAAATGGCATAGGCATTCTGATAAGATCAGCTTGCCCCAAACCCAAAACCTCCATGTGTGTTGGACCACAGTCCCCAACATCCTCAGGCCACATACCTGAGCTGTGTGGGAAGGACAGCAGTTACAATCTAATGCCTCTGGAGGAGAGCCTGCCAAGTGTCATGGGAATGTGGTCTTTCTTTTTATCACATAGGTCCACTCACCATTACTTTTCCAATTGGCAAGGCTCTCCTGCGGAATTCTAATGCAATTAATATTCTGCCTGCAGTTTCCTAAACTGCATTTTTTAAATAAAAGGAGCTCTTACTATGTTTGATGGACTTTTAAAAAATAGATATGTGAGATAAATTCTGCTAATAGGTGTTCCAAAGCCACAGTGCGAGATTCACAACTTAGTGATTTTAAGTGGAATCTTCTGGCTCAAGGACATGTATTTGCTATATTTTCTTTGCTATGTATCATTAGTGCAGTGTACATTTTGCAGTGCATATTTTCACTGTTTCTGTAATGAAGGGATGGGTAACTATGGCCCCTTTACGACTTGTGGACTTCAACTCCCATAATTCCTGAGCCAGCATGCCTGGCTCAGGAATTCTGGAAGTTGAAGTCCCCAAGTCATGAAGGAGCCATAGTTCCCCACCCCTGCTTTGGTGTAATAATTACTAAGAAAAGACTAAGTCTCAGTTTGCAGCTAGTATTAGAAATCTTATTAATTGTAAGGCAAACTACATTTCTATAAACAGGTTGCCTATATAAATATTGATAATCTGACTTTGCTTCAGGCGATTTCAGAATGCTCATTGGAGAAGATAAATCAAAGGTTATGAACATAGTGAAACCAAACATGATACATTTTCAGAAGCTCTATAGCCATATTTTGCAAGATAGCCCTCAAGTGATATACAAGCATCAGCTGGGCAAGTTAGAGGTAAGCAGGTCAATATTGCAAGCTCTTTTTTTAAAAGTAAACTATTTTGAGTAGTGTGATATGTTAAATAATAAGCTTTCCAGCCTGGCATATCCAGGTGGCTTGATTACTTAAGGTATCTGGAAAAGTAAGGCATTATCTTACTTTAGAAATGTCATTCTGTCAATCTAAATTTTGTTGTATTTAAGAGCGTCATCTTTGGTGTCATAGTTAAAGGTATTGAGCTAGAAAAGTAGACCAAGAGTTCTATTTGGGGCAATCATTCTGCCCCAGCCCTTGGAAGAAAACTAGCAAAACACGTCCCAAAAACTTTGTGCAGTTGTCCAGGTAGTTGATAGGAGTCAAGCCTGACTCAGGACATACATACAGAAACATGTATTAATAAATGCCATTTTGTTATATTCTGCTTTATATTGGGTGGATGCAGGGGTGGGATCCGACAGGGTTAACTACCAGTTCAGTGATTTACGAGGTTCGTTGATTTACGATGTGCTTCCCTGCACACTGAGAAGCAGCCTTTGAAAAAGCCCTTTTTTCCTGCTTTTTTAACTGCAGCTGTGCCTCGCACGGCAGCTGAAGTTGAAAAAGCAGGAAATAAAGGTCAGGTAAGACCCCAGGTGGACGGGTGGGCAAAAACATCAGCAGACATAGAACTGGTTCTATGTCTGTTGCTCTTCAGAGCTACCGGTTCTACAGAGGTGGACAGAACCGGTAGAATCCCACCCCTGGGTAGATGAATCCTGGTTTAATTTACAGTAGTTTTCAGGAAAAATGATTAATCCATATAAGCAATGAGGATAATGTATTTGGTAAAGATTTATAACAAATTATCCAAAGACTAAACAAACCAAATTTCATATAGCAAAAGTTAACTTTTCAGATAAATCATGTTTCATTAATTAATTAATTATTGGACCAATCTCATTTGGAAACATTTTTCTGCTGTAAATGAGAACTGTGTGGTGATATTTAGCAACTTGATGATTCTGTTGGAGATTATAAATGATAGAAAATAGGATATAAGTATTAGCTCAAAATTGGAAAAAAACCCTCTGCCTGAATTAAAAATGTTTAAACCAGTCTTTGATATACTGACCAAGGCTATCTGCTTAAGATTTAAGATTTTCCTTCCTTTACAGTCTCTTCATTTATCCTGTATTATATCTTTTTCTCTGCCTACTCAGAGGTTCTAGGTTTGTAGATAACCATGTAAGTGGGTGACTTCTGAAAGGATTGAGGTGATGCACCCATCCTGGCCCTTTACTCAACAGCTTTCAATACCATCAACCATGTTATGCCTCTAGACCATCTGAGGTGATTAGAAATGGGGGCCATTTTGAAGTGGTTCTCCTCCTTCCATGCCTATTACCAGGAAATGTTTATGGGAAAGAAAGATCCAACCCTTGGCTTTTATGGGGGGTTCTCCAGGCTCCAGTCTGTCTCCTCTCCAAGATATGAAGCTATTGGATGGAGTCATTTAATAGCATTAGGTCCAGTATGATACTGTTACATATGTCTACTCCATGGTGCGCAAGTGATGCTATTCAGGTGTTTGCTCACTGGAGGCTAGAAGAGTCTGGAAGGGCAGAAACCAGATAGAAAGTGCACATTCCACGTCCCTTTCTTTCCTAAGTTGTCATCTGGTACTACTCATCCCACCTAACCCTTTTGAATAGTCTTCCATCTGAAGTTCAACTCTCCTTATTCTTTTAGCCTTTTGGAAGGCCATGAAGACTTGGCTGCTCCTCCAAGCATAGCACTAGAATGGGGTTGAGCCAGTAATACGGGTGATTCTAGCAGTGAGACTTTCATATGTACAGAAATGGAAAGACTTACATATTCCCACAATGGAAAGACTGGTGAAGTTAATGGATTTGGCAGAGATGATGGCAAAACTGACTGCTTTGATTAAATAAAAGACTTTGCCTAGGTTTGTATCTACTTGGAAACCACTTTTGGACTTTTTGCTTGAAAGTGAAAGAGATGAAAGTTTAACTGTGGGATTTGATAGAACTGATTATGATTATAGAAGTATTATGTATTATGTATTATAGCTAACGTCAGAACAATGTTATTTTATGCTAGTATCTATACTGAAGAAAGTCAGAAGTTACTCTTTTCTATATTTTTTCTCTTTTTCTGTAAACCCAATTTTGTTTCTTACCCACTTTTTCCTTTTTTTTGTTTTCTTGTATTTTATCTTTTGTTAAAATTTAAAAGCCTTATAAAATTTTTATGGGTGATTCTGATGCCTTGTTGGGAAGAGTAGGAAGTGTTGCAGTATAGATTCATTGAGTGAGATAGGTAGCCATATAAGTTCTTTAAATAAGTAAATTTCTGAATGTAAACAACCCAGGTCCAGTCTAGTATTTAAAACATTTGTAAGTGGCAATGAAGATCAAAATGCAGATACAATTTTGAGTCAAATCAGTCAGCTCTACTGGGCTAGATGTACTCATATTCATTGATGCTTTCTCTTCTGCATTAACCAGTTTCTGTGCCCTTTTATGGATGAATGGACCATGAAGGAAAGTCAGTGCACATAACCGCCAGGAGCTGGCAACTTGGTTTCAGATGGGGCTGCTAATTTTCTATGTTGTTAAAACAAGCTGTGTCTGCTCCTTTTTTGATCTTTAGATAGATAAAAGTCCAGAAGGTCAGTTTGCACAACTGATGGCTTTACCAAGCACCCTGCAGCAAAAAATAACTTCTCTCAAGGATTCTCCAGGGAAGAACAGAGATGTGGAAGAAATTTTATTACAAGTCGCCCATGACCCTGACTGTAGATTTGTGGTACACCAAGGTAGGCTTTAATGATAATTCATTTGCAGAAGAGAATATTTTAGAATCAATCTTGTATATAGTAGTTTCAGAATCCATAGTATTTAAGTATATGTGGCTGGAAATGGGCAGTGGTATCAAAGCTGATGATGTAATTGATACTTTTTCTGTCAGCCCATTTTAGAATCTATAAAGACTAATTCAAAATGCTATGTTCTTACGCCAAAGCTTTAGTCATGCCTAACAAGCTTCTCTCAGTATATTTGTCCAACAATTTCTACTTGTGGATTCTCTCTTTCAGGTAATTTGGCTCACAAACCACTTACCATGGAACATGCAGAACTATCACTGGGTGTGTCCCATTCATTGGTTGCACCATTCATTCGGTCTTAGCCAATAGCCACCTGAATAAACATAGCTCCTCAGGCAGAACTTGTGGATTGAACCTGGGAGCTGGTTGTGTCCAATGATGTATTTAGAAATTCCAGCTCTGTGCCTGGGGGTGGGAGTTATGAACATACTGAATGATCTCACTTGGTCTATTAAATTGCACAAAATGATTACCATGTTAATGTTGTTATGATAAGTCCAAATACACCACAGCATAAAAGTACACACATCCTTATTTTTGGCACCATGTTGGTTTCTGTAGAGACCTGGGTTTGGTAGCTCTTTTATTGTTTAAAAAAATTCCCTATTTCAGATGATTTGGCTCAAAAGCCAATTGCCATAAAATATGAAGAACTATCATTGGATGTTGGGTCTTAGCCAATAACCTATAAGCTCCTCAGGGCTGAATTTGAGACTGACCTTGGGATTTAGTTATGTCCAGGGATGGATTTAGAAATTCCAGCTCTCAGCCTGAATTTCCCACTATCTTAAATGCTACAACCATGGTGTTTGCAAAGTAGGATATTATACAAAACAGCCATAGTTGTCAGGAAAGTTACTCTGGAAAGGTTGCCAGCATACCATCTAGTCTGGTTATGCTGTATTAAATGAGTTTCAATTAATATAGGGCAAAGAGATGGGCAGTTTGCTTGGAAAATTTAATCAGCTGTCTGCCCCTTTGCTCTCTTGACTAATTAGATTAATTAAATTATAATTAGTTTCAGCTGAAGGGGATTTCTGGGTGGGTCCTGCAGGTAATTGTTGCCAGTTTGGCAGCAATGGCCCCCAGTTTTCCTGACTGAGACATACCTTAAGAAATATTTACTTGATCCTGATGACTATCACAGCATTCATCCAGTCACACATGCCTCCTTTGGGAGAAAAGTGTTCAGCCTAAGGTGTTTGAAGATTCTCAATCATACAGAACATGGTTTCCCCAAAGGTGCTTTTTCTAAAATGCAACTGGACTTCTTTTTCTTTGAAACATTTTACTTCAGTTCAGAACTGAAGAAGTGAAACATTTTCAAAGAAAAAAATCAACGAAAGTCCAGTTGCCTTTTGGAAAAAATTCCTTTGTGTCAGTTTCAGGGTTCTTAAATGAACCTTCATGGACCCTTTTCGGAAAGGGACTTAGCACCAAAATCATTGCTGTGCTACTCTGCTTTTTCTGCCTTTCTGGGTAACTTTGGCATAAAGGCCACTGTCATTAGATTGCCTGTATGTTGGAATTGGGAGGTGTTGTCTTTTGGAATTCTAAAATAGAACAGTAAATACATTCAGGGATTAAGCACAGTGTAGTCAAAATAGAGAAGCTGCAGTGGTCCAGATGTGTGATTTGAACCAGCATTCAAGGAAAGCAAAGACAACAGCCCTTCACTGGGTCAATGGATGGCATTTTATACAATTCAAGCCGAGCTGGTGTATATGACTGTTCTTTAGAATGCAGAGCTCCTTGGGAACAATAGTAGCTCCCGAGTAGACCACTGTTCCCACAAGATTCTTCCCCGCAACCCTGTCCTTTCATGTTTTTCTGCCTTTCATTATGCTATCTACTGCAGGTGCTGTTGTGGGCTTGGGTGGTTAGATGAGCTAATCTTGTTTGGAGTCAACGGAAACAGGTCCAGACCTGCAGGTTGTTAGTTCTTCTCTAATCCTGTACTTGGCTGTTTGAATTTAGTAGTTTTCACTGCCACTTTTGCCTCTTACTTCTTTTTTCTGACAATGAGCCATCTGAGCGGGCCAGGTGAGAGCAATTTTAGCTGGTAAAGGGCAATGAGTTCATATTAAGGAAGGTGAGGCATATTGATGTTTTTATGAGGCAACTTGACCAGAGCTAGCAGACGTGGACTATAACAATCCCAAAGACCGAAGAGATTTTTTTCTAATTCTTTGCTGCTTTATAGTGGTTTTAGCCAGATGCTACTCTAGAATCTCTTAGGGAAGAACGTGTCTTGTAATATTTCAGATTAATAACAAGATATGGTTAATAACTTCATCAGAAACAGCAAATAGTCATGATTGGCTGCAGGGAAAACTTGAATTTTATTTGTGAAGATCACTTCATTACCCAGAACAGAAAATTTGAATGTTCATGTATTACAATATTATATAATATATATTAAAAACGTTGGAGTAAACATGTGAATCTTGCCAACAAAATAAAAATATGTAGTATTTGGTGGGATAATCACCTGGTTATTCTGCCAAGTGTGGATTAATCTGCTTTTGGAATAATATTTAATGTTTAAAAACCCTTTTTAAAAATAATCTCAAGAGTAACATCTGACTTTGTTTATTTTCTCCCTCCTTCCATGCCTCCTCCTCCTCCTTCCCCCTTCCCAGGTATTTCAAGAATTGTGGGATTGTCCACCTTAATTCAGAGTGCTAAAACCACCCTAACAGCTGGTAAGAACTTGTGTGCAGTGTTTTTCAAGACAAATCTTGTACTCAAACATACAAAAGTTTTTTGGTTTTTTTTGCAAAATGAAAATGAAACATGAATAAAAAGAATTTACAATGGGGAACATTGATTTAAATTGTTTAAGATACTAATACTGTGACTAAATTGCTTTCTGCACCTTCCAAACCTAGCTAGTTCTTACCTGCCATTGAGAGCCCCCGTTCTAATCTCTCAGTTTTGGGGTCTTTCTCTTTCTCTCTGCTGACAAAGCTGCTACATGTTGTTGAACTATTGAAAAACAATTCTGTACGTTAAGGTGATAGGTTGTATGAGTTCATGAGTTATTAAGCTGGGCACTGCGTGAGCTAATAAACTGTAGTTCTAAAAAGTACTTCAAGTACACTTAACTCATAGCTTTAATTGCAGTGATTTTACTTTGCTTTGTTTTTTCCTTTGCTTTATTGATGTGGGTTTTTCAAACCTTTAGATAGAACACACCTAAAACTGCAAAACTTTATGGTGGGAGCTATGTTTATTAGAGCAATGAAAGTAATGTTTCAACAATTTATGGGAGTAAAACCACATATTGCTGTCAATGTGGCATATGTTCCTAGTATAATGTGGGCAAAATTAAAAAAAAAAAACATTTTACAAAGTTTTCTTAAAATCTAGGCTTTTAGAAAACTGTTGTCTTACCAAGACTGGAATCATTTCCAATCCTTTGCAGAGACTGAGTTTGAAACTTATATTATTTTTTAATCACAAAACTGCAATAACTTTCCCAGATGTAGCTTTTTCCATGGAATGTGAAGTTAGAGCTTCCCACAAGGAGAATGGGGTCTGCTGCCAATAGCACAGTTGCAATTTTACATTTCTCCCCCTCTGTAATGGGTAAGACAATTTCATTTAACATCAGACCCCTGAGCTATTTCCTAGTCACTAGCAATAACTGATAGCAAGTAAGATATAATGGCCATATATCAAGAGGTAAGCCAGTTTACATCTTACTAGGAGGGTGAGATGACTGGAAAAGCAAGACATGGCATTGCTTTTTCTAGAAATGTTAAAAATATAGCCCTGCTTTGAGAAGGATACTTAATATCAAGGGCTTGAATGTTTTCAGTGTTATATTTTTGTTGGGATAACATATTTTTCTTTCCTCACTGTATGTCCATGTAAGAGTTAGTTTTTCCATGTGTTCCACTATTGCCCTTAATTATATCAACAAAGAAAGGAAGCATATAAAAATGAGGATGTTGTGCTTTTTTATTGCTTTGGTTCCTGGTTTATGAATATTATGAAACCTTTTTGTCAAGTTTCTAATAGTCTGCAGTGCTTTCTGCGACAAACTGATTTCAGTTGAGATAATTCTTTCCATGTCTGCCACTTCGGCCAGTTGCTAGAACCTGCATAATGGAGCATTAGCCCTGTGGTCAAAACTTGTTAATTGGTAGGAATCCCTGTATAACCTGACTCTGAATGAGTTAACTCATTCTGTTTTACTGATAAGTTGAATGGCCTCTCTGCATCAGTGCAATGGCTGTAGCAGTGGAGCAGATGTTTTAAGATATAAGCCCAATTAAGTTTGACTGTTGTGTGGGTGTTTTTCATATATTTTGCTGTGAACAGGGGATACCGGTTTAACCACTTAACCATCCTTCTCTTGTTACAGCTGTAATTCTTCTAATGAGGCTTTGAACTAGCACAGACCTGCATGACTATTATTTTTCATGCTACGTTATCCACCCATCTCCTACACCCCTTTTCCTCTTTCCCACACAGGCTTTATTCAGATTTTAATGGCAGCAGGCTTTAGGCAGTATCTTTAGGCCAGACATTACGTTAGTAATTTGCCTTTCACCCCTCTAGTCTCACCAGCTACCATCATCTCAGCAGGATTCTGAATATGGTTGGTAATTAGATCCTGCTAGGCTGTAAATATTAAATGTTGCTGAGCTGCCATGCAGCAGTTATTTCTTTCAGTCAAATACCTGGATCTATAACACCTGAGTCATCACCTGTGGAAGTACAGGTAAAATGGTCCTTGCTAAGTTCTGCAGCACATACAGACCATCCAGGGTTTATTATGTAGTTGGCAGGTTATGCTTCTAAACATTGGTAAAGAATACAAAGGCCTTCAGCCATCTAACATGATTTCTTTTCATCTTGCAGAGCCCATGTGGTTTAAAACTAGCTTGAGCCCTATTTTTTATTTTTTTTATTTTTGGTTACTTTTGGAGGCCCTGTTTATCTCTTCAAGAAAAAGAAAGCTGGTATGTTTTTTTTTTAAATCTGTGACAAGACTTTGGGTCTGGTTTCTATTAGAAATGGCACCATCCATGGATTTATTTTTCTTCTTGGTCTTATGGCATATAAGGCTCTGAAATATTTGCAATTTAGATGCTTCAAAAAAAGAATACATTTGGCAAACTTATGTGAAATAAAATAAGCTTTCTTATATTTGCATTAATGATCCTGTGTCAGGTATAGCTTTTCGTGGAAAGCATACATTCCTATGGATCTTGAGTATGAGTGTGGGATCAAGGAGTTAGATTAGAAGGAGGAAAAATGGACAGATGTGTATTTGTAAATACACACACAGAGTGTATCTCTTTCTGTCTCTACACACCCACACCCTCCGAGAGAGAGAGAGAGAGAGAGAGAGAGAGAGAGAGAGAGAGAGAGAATCATTTCTTCTCTAATACTGCTGCTATATTCGGGATAACATCGGAAGCAACCTTGGTTAGATTTTTTCTTTTAGTGTCACTCTTGTACATCAGGTCTGTGGCCTCTCCCATTTTATGAAAGAGATTCTACAAAAGTACTTCAGAAGTAGCCACCCAAAGGTATCGAGGATGCCACGTGTCTAATATCCTTCTTCTCTTCTGAAAGATGGAGTTCTCCTCTCCCTGAGTTGTGAGGCTGGGTGTCCTCTTCCCTAAATAACAATTCAGATGAAGAAGTCATAGTATTTGAATGAAAAGAATGGAATTAGCTGAACTGTCATGACAAATTTCAGCATAATACAATTTAAATTACATAATGTGTCATATAAAGTATTGGATAAAATATGTTGTTTTGAATATTTCTCTTTAGCATTAGAAGTTACAAAATAATTTATTATATTCTTCAGTTATTAAAAGCTTTCTGGTGGCCAAACCCCATGATAGCCTATTCGTGCATAAGGCAAAGGATGTCTCTATATGACAGATGGCCTTCAGTCCTACCTGAAATGGAAACCTTCCATAAGATATATTTTGTGCATATCAGTAGCTGCATCAACATCAGGAAAAAAAATACCTGCCAGTCCTGCTGCACTTCATTAATTGAGAAGAGGGTTTATTTGAAATTTCTAAAAGGTGCCTCTAATGTGCTTGATTTCCTTGAGGGGATTCCTGAAGAGTTTATAATATTTACTTACAAATATACTGGTTGAACAGGCAGGGTTAGCTCCTAAAACAACATTGGTTCCAACAGCACACAGGCCAGAGGCTTCCAGAGACTGCAAACTCTAGGCATTCTCTCAACATCTAAATCTGTAATGTATGTCCCACCTGGATGAGGGAAAGCTTAGACACCTGGAGAAGTTGTGTAGTCTTGCGTGGTCCATCTGTCCTTGGACAGATAATTTTTGAGAAAACATACACAGGAAGATACTCTACCACTTTTTTAAAGAATGCCATCAAAATCCAGGACCCTTAAGCTATATAAACTACTGCATTTTTAGAATATAAGATGCACCTAGCTTTTGAGGAGGAAAACAAGGGGAGAAAAACCTGCCTCTGCCTCCCAGCAATTTGCCTCCTTGCAGCAAATAGCAAACAGCCTGGTCAGCTACACACAGCCTGATTTAGCATGAGCAGCTGATTGGTAGTTGGATCGGCCTCCTGGAATACCACAGATCATCTGTTCCATGCTGTGGGTGCTGGCACCATCCATCGGCGTTGCCAACTATCGCTGCTTCCACGCGCCCCATTTTCAGCCTCTGCGTGTTCCATTTTTGGTCCATTCTGCCGCCATCACCTATACCCGCTGGCTGGAATGGGCCGAAAACTGGATGTGTGGAGGCCAAAAATGGGGCACACAGAGGCAGCGATAGGTGGCAGTGGTGATGGGTGGCGACAGCGCTGAAGGGTGGCAGTGATCCCTGCAGCCTGAAACAGCTGATCGTTGGTATGCCAGGAGGCTGATTCAACCGCCAATGCTAAATTGTGTTAAATCAGGCTGTACTGAAGCTGACCAGACTGTTTGCTGTTTGCTGCAAGGAGGCAAATTGCTGGGAGGTAGAAGCCAAAGGGTGGGGGCTGGCGGGTGGGCGGGGCTTCAGCAGTGTTCACTCTATAAGACGTACAGACATTTCCACCCACTTTTTGGGGGGGAAGTGCGTCTCGTAGTCTGAAAAATATAGTATATTAGGCTAGTAAGATTCTAGATTCTTTTTTATCACATAAGCAAAATAACACTGATTTTGTCTGCAGATTTATACATGTATGGTTGTTTGGCTATAATTCACATTTCTAAATCCATTTTTAACAGTACAACGTACATGGTGATAGCCATAGGGAGAAAAGTTCACTACCTTGGAACTAAACACTGCAACAAGGTTTTAATGAAATATTGTACTTCAGAGTGTTCTTGATTAGCATGTAAGTCAACTACTGTAGTTATGTCTTCTTCCATAGTGTTCTATTTCATTTTTGCCTTTTTTCAACATTGCCCTCTTAAAACATGCAGTTCTCCTTGTGACTTTCAATTTGTTTTATTTCTCAGTTGTATTTTTTTGTTCTCAAATAATCTTTATTTTTCCCTTATACACAGATGATGTGCCAAGATATTTGCTAGTTGTATATAGGACTTCTTTATTTTGTGAGGGTGGGGGAGGAGAGAGGGAGGGAGGGAAAGAGAGGGAGAGGGATATGTATTAATGCATAGAATCAGTTATTCCCCAACTTCCATTTTGCTGAACTAAAAATTCAAGGTTCTCTCCCCATTTGTACTAGCCAATATTGGGAGTTATCATTTACAAGCCTCTAAAAAGGCACACTTTCCCTATTTGAGAATTATATAATTATATAGGCGGTGTAGCTTTGGGTAAGTGGAACTTCTAGTTCCAGGACTTTATTATCTTTAGCGCTGGATGAGGTTGTATCCCAGATAGACCTGGTATACAATTTGGGGTTCTGCTTGAGGAATGGTTTGACAGTCATGCTAGAACCTTTGTGCCACTGTGTTGTGTGCCAGTTGTGCCCTTTCCTGAATCGAGAGTCCCTGTGCTCAGTCATTCAAGCCCTGGTCATCTCACACTTGAACTTCAATGTACTCTGCCTGGAGCTAATCTTGGAGTATCTGGAAGCTTCGGCTGGTGCAGAACCCAGCTGCGTGGGCAGTTCTTGTGGCCACTAGGGTGGCCCACGTTACACCACTGTTTTGCGAACTGCACTGGCTGCCAGTTTGCTTTTGGGTCTAATTCAAGATGCTGATTCGCCTTTAAAGCGGTTCACGGCATGAGTCCAGGCTGTCTGAGGAATCATTTCACCTCATGCTGGCTAAAGGGGCATGCTGTGTACCTTATCTGCCAAAGAATTTTGGCTGGTGGGGTCCAGAAGAGCCTTTTCTGTCATAGAGCCCAGACAAGAGTGCATCCACTCTTTCAACCTTCCAAAAGGCCTTGAGGACATGGTTGATCCAACTGGCCTGGGCCCCAACATGGTGTGGCATTTTGGAAGTGACTAATGGATTAGATAGCACTCCATCTTCTCCCCTTGCACACTTTGCTTCCTCCCTCTCTTCTTGTTAAATTTTATTCTAACTGAATTTTAAATATAAGTTTTAAATTCAAGATCTCTATTGTTTTAATATTTTATATTGCATTATAATTGAATGATGAGTCACGTAGAGTCGCTGTTGTTGTCAAGTAAAGAGAGTCAAGTTATTGTTGTCTTAGTAAAGAGGTCCCCAGATGGTCAAATACTGAAATGTATTTCAGACCCCAGATGTGCTTAGAACATTAGTTATTCAAGTCAAAATGGAGGGCATGAACAAAAGTGAATAGAAATGCAAATACGTCATGTGATAATTAAAGGTCAAAACTTATTCATGTCCATAGGGACATCCTTCCTGGGGTATGGACAGGATCTGCTTTCCATTGTGCTTTGCTTGACATTCATTTTAATAAATATTACTTTGCTTTAAGTGAACAAAATATTCTGTATTACATGCATATAACAAGCATTAAAGGCACATAATAAATGAAGCAACCACTGTTTGTAAGGTTATATGGAAGTGAAAATAGAAATCAGACTGCTATGTTAGACTTAGATGTACCCTCAAAGGATGGGGGATTGGTTTCATTTACATAGAGTGGGAATAGCAATAAGTTTAAGAAGTGATGAAATGCAAAACTAAGAAAGAACTACTTTGACAATTGTGTGCACATATGCTATATAATTACATCATAACACAAAAAGATTGACTAAAATCTTGAAGATTTGCCTTCTCCTTCTCTGGAGTCTGGACTCACAAGAGACAGCAGGGTAAACTAACTTTTTCAGAAATGTATTGGGGACTACTTTAATAGATGAATCAATGAGTCTTGTCAAATAGGCTAGAGTTAACCATGAGATGGTAGGGTGATTTATCAGGTAATAAAAAAAACCTCCTGGGTAATTGACTAAACTTATTCTGTGGCTTCCTAAGGCATAAATTGATATTGACAGAGAACAAGAATCAAGAGTGATCATGGAAAAGGAAAGCAGTTTATTTAATTCTTTAATATGTATTAATGCTAATAATACAAATAATGAAAAGCTGTCATCAAACTAATAATCATTTATAATAATTTGTAACAGCAATTAAACCAAAAAAGCTACTTCGTGAATAATGCTGTATCTTAAATTAAGAATTTCTTAATTTGTATTTGAATAGTAAAAGAAAAGAGTCCCAGCAGTTTTGAATGGGAAAAAGTGGTTCATATCTTTAACTGCTTTAATCAATTACCACAACAAATTCTCTAATGAATTTATGCTGCAGTGCCCTCAGCAGCTGATAGGTTACATTGCGAAGTCTATGAATGTAGGGTGTTGAATTCTATCCCATTTAAATTTTCCATCCATTATTTACATAATATTTCTTAATTTAAAGGGATGAAAAAGTCATTGATCTACAGCATGAAGAAGATGTACAAGATGTCAAAGGGATGGTTCAGAAAATCATGACATCTATGAAGTTTGAAAAACCTGATCTTCTCATATTAGTTTATTTTTTTGCATCACTTTGGAAGACAAAGCATCTTTAGTTTGGAGAAACTGTTGTATTATTTATTTTCAGACAACTTTTCAGAGAAGAGAACAGATTAAGATGGAATCCGTTTTTTATCTGCTTCTTTGAAGACTATTTGGAATGATTTTTCCACAGTCGGCTTATTTTACACGTGTTGTCCATGTAATATCTTAGAAACATCCCTGTCTCCAAGGCCTTATATTCTTGAGATGTTTTTTAAATCACATATGCTTTGAGTTATGTCATCCTTCTGTTTTTCCATCATTTACTTTACCAAGAACTTATAATGGTCTTGTCCTATAACTTAAGAAACACTGAATAGCAATGTGTTAAATTCTTTTGCTTGTGGCACACCTACTGTGTAGAGCTGCATATCAAGTAACTTTGAGAAAGGTCAGACATGCGCTTTCCAGGCACATTTGACATCACAGCCAAATATTGGTAAGTAGGTCATATTTCAAAACAAGGTCTGGTTATTGTTGAATTCCTGGGAGACAGAGAGATATATATACCTAACATAAAATCAAAGAACAATATTTTCCATCATGTTTTAGGTTGCTTTTCTTCCTTAACACCCAAAGCTTCAACTACTGGATCATAAAGGAAAGCTGCTGAATTGGTTTTCTAAAATATAAGGCATTGGACTAAGAGGAAGTTTTATCTGCCTTTAACACTTTCTCTCTTAACTCAAGGAGAAAGGCAAGGGCAAAACACTTCCAAAAACATGTTGCCAGGAAAATTGCAGAAACTAGTTATTATTAGGAGTCAAGACAAACTCAATGGTATAAAAGAGGGGGGAGAAGAGGGGAAAGACATGTAATTATCATTTTATTAAAAGAGGGGTTTGAATTATGAAATTGATCCTCAATACATCTTTTAAAGTGAGCATATTAGAATGATTTGGGGTTAAGAGAGGCGACATATAAATGTCGTAAATATAAATAAATAAAATTCCTTAACCCATTCCCTAGTGCAACTCAATTTTAAGTTGATGTAATAAGAGAAATCATAAGCCACAATCGCAGAAATGAGGAATATTTTAGAAATATTTGGCAATAGAAACAAGCATTTCTGTCTGTATGTATAACACTTGTCACAGATACAGAGATTCACAACATTTTAATATGATTTCATCAGTTATAGAATCTAATTCCTGATTAGTTTAGGGTCATGAATATGATGGGTTCTCAAAAGTTTTAAAACTTGAACTGTCCAGTATTATCATATGCCCCAAGGCCTAATTTTAAAGAGCAGTTAATGTTAATTATCTGTATGGAAGAGTTCGTAAAAATGAGATACACACTGAACAATTTCTCTACTAAAGTTTTCTAATGTAATTTAAGAAGTTCTATTCTGACAGGATGTGTGCCTATTGCATGCTATGCAATGCAATAGCTGTAGCCCGAGAACTCCTTTGAATAATCTTTGTTTTAAAAAAATGTAAGACATAGACTATGCCACTGATTTCAGTCAAATGGAATTAACAACGTCAGATGATAGCAATACAACCAGCCTTGAAACATGAATGTGTGAGTATGTTTAAAGTGGGGGTGGGTTTGGGTTTATTTAGTTATGGGTGACCCCCAAATATTAACTTGGGAAAAGGCTGCTGCACTAAAACTGAATAGCTGCTATTAAGTTGAATAGTCTTGACTGAGGAATAGTATCATTTACTACAAAGTAGCTCCCTCTTGTGTGAATCAGTTATTTATTTTAAGGGGCAATCTGTGTAAAGTGAATATGAAAACTGTATGCTAATAAAAAGTTTTCTGTTCCTGACACTATGAGAAGCCATTTAAATCTAAATGTTTAAGGAAGGAAAAAGCCTGTAGTTGACCCCTATTAGGAAGGCAATGAAGGGGATAGATGTGAAAGGTTACACAGTTGGAAACGGAATCCATATGATGAACTAGCTGGAACTGCTTATTCACTTAAACAGAGTTTAGTATTGTTTTAACTGAAAATACAACTAAAACTACTAGAATAGGCTAATCTTGTTTTTTTCTACACATTTATTTATTAAAAATAAATATAAATTAAAAACATTCCTATGGTTATATTCTATTTAAAAGATAGTTAACAATAAAACAACGATGAATGATAAGCTCCCTGCCTTGTTCCCAACCTTGAATGGTTGACCAGTGGATACAAATGATACACAACAAATAAAAATCCATTCATATTTTTTGTTACTCTCTAATTTGACCTAGTATATACAGTTATGTAGGACGTGATGGCTCAGTGGCTAAGACGCTGACCTTGTCAATCAGAAAGGTTGGCAGTTCGGCGGTTCGAATCCCTAGCATCGCGTAACGGAGTGAGCTCTCATTACTTGTCCCAGCTTCTGCCAACCTAGCAGTTTAAAAGCATGTAAAAATGCAAGTAGAAAAACAGGGGCCACTTTTGGAGGGAAGGTAACAGTGTTCCGTGTGCCTTCAGCGTTTAGTCATGCTGGCCCATGACCACGTAGATGTCTTCGGACAGCACTGGCTCTTCGGCTTTGTAACGGAGATGAGCACCATCCCCTAGAGCTGGAAACGACTAGCACGTATGTGCAAGGGGAACCTTTACCTTTTACCTTTATATACAGATATACCTTGGCACTCGACTGTTTCTTTTCCTGGTGATTGTTTTTCTCCCAGTAGTTGCAAGGAAGTAAGTACTGATGTTGGCAGCCTCATGATTCACTATTTCTTCCAGCTAAAATAATGGGTCAAGTGAATAAGTCACATGATTGTCTCGTGGCTTATCCCACTGGTTTTAGTATTTGGCGCATCTTCCAGAATGGATTACCGACAAAGGTCAAGGTACCACTGTAATATATTTTGGAAGACTGAATATACCATATAGAAACCTCCTCTTTCCTAATTTTTAACTTTTACAAAATGCCAGTTCCTTTAAAACTATTGAGTTAATGGTTTTTGTACCATAATTTTCAAACTGACAAATTTGGAGAGGGATATGCCTTTGTAAAAATTGTTATTATGCCATTTAGAATGTAATCAATAACTTATTGTGCTGTATATAGATGTGCTGAAGAAGAGTAAAATGTCCAGTCTAAGTGATACTGCAAGTCAACCTACTTTGTCATATAAATGTCAACAGTGCAGTTGAACCACAATCAAATTAATTGGACAAAATCTCCCAATGCATATTCATTTGAATTTTGAATCTTATAGGGATTGTGCACAAAATAAAAAAAACATTTTGTTTCACTCAGCACAAGCCATTGTATCTTCAATTGATTGCAGTTTAACAAAAACAGTAAATTGTGTTCTAGGATTCAGAGAAAGTGTAAAGGGCAAGGGAGGGGAGGGGATATCAAAAATGTGTGATGAAACCCCACCTCCTTTTTAGGTATAAATGGTGCTGTGGGAATCCTGAATGAATAGAATGAAAAGATTCCAACAACACATACTCTCCACTGTCTGTTTGCCCATAGATCTTGCCAATTCTTTCTTCTCCCTGCCTCTTATCAGGGAGAGATGCCTTTATCCCCATCTAGAAGAAACAATCCTGGGAACACTCGGCATGGACATGAAACCAGCTGTTCCATGTCCAGAGCAAATTTTGTGTGGAACATTTTGCACATTCCTACAGCTTACATATTCAGTTGAAAATGCAAGGCAACCTAGTTGCTGTGCCAAGGGGAATTTGCAATTGTTTATAAATAGATTTTTATTTTAGAAGTGTGAACAGATACATATATAAAATCACATTTGTATATTTTTATATCCAAGCATACTTGGAGTTCACATACCTATTTTCATGGCATAGGCAGCCAATGAAGGGCTGCAAGCAAATACACATATCCAGTCATAAAGACAGAAAGGTTTCCCTAAGCTGCCACTTTGCAATAGATTATTGTCATGAAAAATATGGCTTAAAAGTAACTTGATTAGGTCTGTGAACCTGGAGACTGACCTCTACATCTTAGTAAAGAGGTAGTTATAAGCACAGCAGAGAGGAGACAGAAGATAAGCACAGTGCAATAGCTAATTAAGCATTTGATGTGCAGAAGATGTTCTGTACAGTTGTTAAAATCCCAAAAGCAATGGAACAGGTGTTTTTATTATGTAGCTTGAATGCAGCTTTAATTACCTATGTAAAGCAAGGGCTGTAACCTCCAAATTTATAATGTGGATAGTTTATTCCAATTTTAATGCCTTTGAAATACTGCAACCACTGCACAATATTTTTTTAAGTGTCAGAGCTTAAGAAAGATTTTATTCTCTAACTAGGACGATCTTGAAAACCTTCCTGTTTTCCTACCTTCCTTCTGGGTATTATAGCACTTCAATCTGTTCAGGTTTTGGTACGGTGCCCAGAATGAATCATGAGCTAAAATTGTCTATGTTTTGAATTTCTCCTACTATTCTTAATGGAAATCACTCTGTAGCATATAAAAATCATTCAGAGAAAATGTATTTCTTTATAAAGAAATGTACATATAAGAGATATTTGAAATAAATATATTTTTCAATAATGTATGTGATTGGTTGTATTGAAATTTTTCAAAATATGGAAATTAACAGTGTTTAATACTGTATGCTTTTTTTACAATCCTTATTGCTAAATATATCCTAATTCAGTGTCATGCACTTGTTAAAAACCTGTGTTGATCATGCTGATGTAAAGTAGTGCTTTCATTTTATTGTTTTGCTGGATTTCCTCTCCTAAATTTAATACAGTATACAATATAGTACTGTGAATCTTCCACAGTAAACTGAACGTGTTATGATTGTTTCACATTATCAGTCTGCATGGATACTAGATATCAGTATATAAACCAATTGATAGACTTCTTTATTTTTACATAATTCTTCATCCATGTGAGTTATTTGTAGCTACTCCTGTAGCACATATCACATTTGGAATATAATAAACATACACAATACTTTGTACAGAATTTGTCAGCTGCTTTGGGGAAGAAAATGAAACAGCAAGTTCAAGAAAGATTTATTGTTCTCCACCTGTTCAGTTCCCATCTATTTTTTCCTCTCTTGAAGCAATATGCAGAGCATCATTGCAGGGCTTGTTGCCTAAGGATGGTATCTTTAACTTCTCAAGTAACTCCAGCCTATATTTAGATTATTAGAATCTGAAAGTCAGCTGCTTTTCAAGCCCTGTTGCAAATGAAACAGCAAATGAATCAATAAAACTTTCTGGCCAAGAATTCTAGGAGGGGTACATAATGAAAACAAGAAACTCAACTTTATGCTGCACATAAACACACACTGTCTAAATTCCTGAACTTAGAGTAAGCTAGCTTCTTAGTAAGCTAGAAAAAAGTGGAATAGATAGCACCACCACTAGATGGATTCGCAACTGGCTGGCAAACCGTACTCAATGAGTAGTCCTTAATGGATCTAAGTCTACATGGAGGGAAGTAAGCAGTGGAGTGCCACAAGGTTCCGTCTTAGGCCCAGTACTCTTCAATATAT